AAAAGGACTTCTTCCAAATTATTTGGGTTAGCACTAGTGATAATTCCTTAATAGAGAGATAGCAGGAAAGGGAATGGGAGAATTGGTTACATTTATTACTCTAATAGCATGTGGTTTGTCAAACTATTTCCTGATGTTAAAGAAGTTTTTATCAAAAACTAGACTAGCTTTTTCAAATGCTGTATAGCAAAACTTAAATATCCCTACTGCAGCTAATTCCTGCCTTTCACTGTAGAAAAATTTTAAAACTTCACTGAAGGATTCCTTACTCCTCTCCCTCCATAATCGGTTTCAGTCTATCTGCTCAGCAGGAAATGTTTGCTTATTGTGTAGTTTTCCAGCCCATGTGGTTTTCAAGATATGAGTCAGTGGAGATTATGAATTACTTCTTATACTGCTTCAAAGTCATAAAATATCATTGCTTAAGCATTTCAGCAGCTTTAATAATCAAGCTCCTTAAGGAAGCAGTGCATTGCTGACTGTGACACATAAGGAGAGGTTTATGTGAGTCTTTTGGTGCACATACTCAAATATCAACTCTTCTCATCTGGACAAGGAGAGTGAAGTTGAAATGGCTTCTGAGATTAAATGAGGGACTCTCAGACTCTAACAAGGAGAAAAGTTGGTTTCATGAAAACTGTTTAATTGTCCTACCTTTAAATTGGCCTTTATATAGCTGAAGGGAAAAAGATTACTCCAAAAGTATGTTTGGTTAAAGGACTCAGCTCTTCCATGAAACTTTCCTTAACTAAAATGGTACTATTTTAATTCTTTCAGCACATATGTTTATGATCTGTATCATAACATTATAGTCTTACTTATATGTTGATTTGAAACTATTCTCTATAGTTATTTTATACAGTTCATTAAGTAAACCTTTTGAGCATTTACTGTATGAAGGGTACTACTGTTAAGCACAGCTACAGGTTATATAATCCTTGCCCTCAGAAGGCTTACAATCTAATAATAGAGCTAAGGCAAATATCTATTGTAACATAAGGAACAGTGAAAGTACTAAGGGACTTCTGAAGAGAGAGGTGTTATATGTGGTAGAAGATTGAAAAGGGTAACATCAAGGAGGTGACATTTAAGATATATAGACTTCCTGGAACTTCCCTGGTGGTCCAGTGGCTAAGGCTCCACGCTCCCAATGCAGGGGGCTCAGGTTTGAGCCCTGGTCAGGGAACTAGATCCCTCATGCTCCAACTAAAAGAAAAAAAAGATCCTGCATGCCGCAACTAAGGATCCCACACGCTGCAAGGAAGATCCCACGTGCCGCAACTAAGACCCAGTGCAGCCAAATAAATAAATAAATCTTTTTTTAAAAAAATTAAGATGTATAGACTTCCTGACATTCAGGGGGGTAGGAAGACATTCCATGTAAAGGAACAAGAAATGGAGGCAAAAAGTATCATCTGTAAAGGCAAAGGAGTAGATTAAGGCTACACAGCATTTGGCCTTGACTAGTACACAGAGGAACTGTGCTTATTTAATAAAGTAGAGAACCATTGAAGGTTTTTGAGCAGGACAGAGGTATAATGAGAGTTGTGTTCTAGAAACATTAATCCCATGAAATGTGTAAGATTGATTGCAGGGAAAAACTATAATAACCCAGGTAATGAGAATCTAGGTAATTGAGAGAATGTTGGTCCTATTAACAGAAGTTAAGTCAGGAAGAGGCTGATTTGGAAAGGTTAGGGATACAGTTTTCACTTTAGATGTGAGTTTGAAATCCCAGAATACCCAAGCTAAGATGTGTATTGGGCAGTAGAAGAATCAGGATTGGAGATTTGAGAGGCCTGTATGAAGTTGAAATCATGTGAGTGAATGAACATGTTGAGTGCAGAGAAGAATACAGCCAACCTTCAGGAAATGTCTATACTTAGGAAGGAAAAAGACAACACAAGGGAAAAAAAGATTATCATCTCCTCAACTAGATGTAAGCTCTTGGTTCAATAGGTTCAATACCCTCTGCTTTCTTTTTATCCCTTGTTGTAAAATTTAAAAAATTTGTAGTTTGAGGGACTTCCCTGGTGGTCCAGTGGTTACGACTCTGCGCTTCCACTGCAGGGGGCATGGGTTCGATCCCTGGTCAGGGAACTAAGATCCCGCATGCAGCACAGCATGGCCAAAAAAAATTAATTAAAATAATAAAGTTAAATGGTTTTAAAAAATGATCCCTAAAAAACAATGTAGTTTGAATATATGAGAAATAAAACCACAAGATTGATAAGACTCTTTTCTACAGGATGAGGATGAAGAAGTATACAAGAGAGATTTCAGCGCACCTACCCTGGAGGATCATTTCAACAAAACCATTCTTCCCAAAGTCATGCAGGTATGGGGTACCTTAATGACATGAGAGAGAAAAGTAACGTATTGAGGGCTGTGACATGATATGTCTGGTGGTATAACTCATCATCTGTCCTAACAGGTCAAGAACTTTGGACGCTCTGGTCGTACCAAGTACACCCACCTCGTGGATCAAGACACCACCTCCTTTGACTCAGCATGGGGCCAAGAGAGTGCCCAGAACACAAAGTTCTTTAAACAAAAGGCAGCTGGGGTACGAGATGTATTTGAGCGGCCATCTGCCAAGAAGCGGAAAACTACTTAACTTATTCTTCCAACTATGGGACACAAGGGGAAATCTCAGCATCTGGTCCTTGATTGTTTTTACTACTATTTACATGGCCCCTATATCCAGCCTGCTGAGCCTACTGCCATACTTGTGACACTGGGCAAACCTAGTCTTTGACGTGCTTTGTGAGGTTTGGACTCATGCTGAGAAACCTGCAGAAAAGCACTGTCCAGGTAGGATTAGAGGCTCCCCACTTAGGACTATTTCTGAGAAATCTTCAACTTCATTATTGCTCTGGCTTCCCATATTCACTTGGGACTGTTCCAGGTTTCTTTTTCCAGCCCTTAGCTTGGGTTAGAAAAATGGATGGGCATGTAAGCGGACAATATTACTTCTACCGTACAGGAAATCTAAGCTCATTGAAACCTGTTTTGCATTTTTGGGGTAAATTTTTCTAGATGAACATTACTTTTTGATCCATTTATATGTGTGTGTGTGTGTGTCAAGAAATAAAAGAATCATACACCAAGAGGTTTTTTAGCATACCAGAAATAAAATGTGCAGGCTGACAAGTATCTACCTATTAACTAAAATAAAAGACAGCAAGGAATTATCAGGCAAATTATGTTTCACATTTTAATCATCTCCTTTGATCTCAGAAACCAGCACAGATGCTAGACAGGCTGTATTGTAAGTGGCACATAGATTTATTCCATGAGCAAATGTGTACGTGGTTGTCCTTGCTGTCTAAACTGTAGCTGTATATAGAACAAAACAGGACACATGAAATGAGGAATCCATGTAGCATACTGGTATCTTCTTGCCCAGCTCATATATCGAGGGCATAGTGCTCTGAGTTGCAATGTAGCGACAACATGTTAGACGTCACTGGCAGAGTTAAATTTAATTTTTTCCATTTAATATTTACCACATGACCACCGTGCATGTGGCAGAGCATTAGGAGTCCCAGGGGTTATAAGGAATGACATTTAACCAGTGGGAAGACTATCTCTAAATTGCATTAAAAAATGAGAAGAGGGGGGACTTCCCTGGTGGCACAGTGGTTAAGAATCCGCCTGCAGGGCCTCCCTGATGGCACAGTGGTTGAGAGTCCGCCTGCTGATGCAGGGGACACGGGTTCGTGCCCCAGTCTGGGAAGATCCCACATGCCACGGAGCGGCTGGGCCCGTGAGCCATGGCCGCTGAGCCTGTGCGTCCGGAGCCTGTGCTCCACAACGGGAGAGGCCACAACAGTGAGAGGCCTGCGTACCGCAAAAAAAAAAAGAATCCGCCTGCCAATGCAGGGGACACGGATTCGAGTTCTGGTCCAGGATGATCCCACATGCTGCGGAGCAACTAAGCCCGTGTGCCACAACTACTGAGCCTGCGCTCTAGAGCCCGAGAGCCACAGCTACTGAGCCCACATGCTGCAACTACTGAAGCCCATGCACGTAGAGCCCATGCTCCACAAGAGAAGCCCCTGCAATGAGAACCCCGTGCATTGCAACCAAGAGTAGCCCCGCTCACCACAACTAGGGAAAGCCCACGTACAGCAACGAAGACCCAACTCAGCCAAAAATAAATATCTCATTTTAGAAAATGAGACAGACAAGGTCTTTTCACAATCTTTAAATGCCCCACTAGAAGAATCACTCATAAATCCTTAAATGTCCTAGAATAAAAATACGAGTGCAAATAATTACTGTGAGGTAATAAACAGAGATGAATATGTCACTTGTATGTGCCAGAAGGAGATACAATCTGAGAATTATCCTAGAGCCAAAATGAGAGTGAGAGCTACATTCACCTGCTCATGAATTCTTATAACAACCTATCAGATCTATGTATCATTTTATAGTTGAGGAAACAAGCTCAGCAAGGGTGAGTTGGTGATCAAAAATTTGATCAACTTTTAAAGTAAAATTGCTTTCTCTCCAGGTTAGAAAATGGAATCCAAGGTGTAAGTGTTGTGGTTCAGAAAATATTAAATCAAAATCTTTCATAAATTCTATATAAGACATAATCTTTGATAACTTCTATTGTAGTTACCATGTTCCCACCTCAGTACCTAAATTCTAACTCACAGTGGCTTATGAACTGGATTGGTGACTTAAAACTATATACAGTGGTTCCTAGGCATGTACTGGCCTTTCAGCTGTTCATAAGCTACCCTAGAGACACATGCCATGGAATACAGTACACTTTGCTGAGACTCTAAGTGTACCTTGAATGCTGTTGAGAACTAGTCATATGAATGAGCCTGATCTGCCACATAGCATCTGCATCTGAACATGAGGCACTCTTCTACACTGATCCTTCACATAGGTTCATTAAGGGTTATACTCCAACATGTAAATTTCCCACAATAAAATACAATATGATATACATTGCACTTGATCCAAAATGATAAAACTGCAACTTGGAAAAAAAAAGACATCTTTATTGAAATAAGTTAATCCAGTGGGTAGGTCTGAGAAAACACTAATCAGTTGGTTAGGGCAATAAGAGCCTCTACCACGTTGCCCATGTGTTCCCTCAAGCTCCGTTCTGCTGCTGCTCGCGAGATCTCCATCTCTGTCATCTGCAGGAAAAGGATCAATGATTTTACCTAAGTCTCCTCCCGGGCATTAATGTGCCAGCAAAACATGAGGACTCTACTTGTTTGGGGAAACAACCCAAATTTGACAAAGAAACCGCCCCCACCCATACACTAGTTAGACATTACTACTCACTATCAGCTCCAGATCTTCCTTCTTGATAGTGACTTTGGCCAGTTCCTTCTCCCTGCAAATATTCATGTACTTAGTCCTCATTCTTTACCTCCATCATAAACTCCCAGAAAGGATTTTTCCAGCTGTGCCTTACAAATAAATGACTTGATAAACACTGTTGACTGAAAATACAAAACGACTCCCACCCTCTCACCTAACGTCCCATCCCATCCCCTGGAATATTTACAGCAGGCAGCAGGTGTTGCCAGGAGGCCTTTCCTTCCACCAACAAGAGTAAAGTTGTAAATCTTAGATCTGCAGAAATGGGTGATACAGTTGAAGAACAGTACAAGGTACAAAGGCCTAACGATGGCTTTTTTTGTCTGGGGGAATGAGAGGGGCCCGTAGGTAAAACGACTTACCGCTCCTGTTTGGCTTTCTGCTCCCGGGACCGTCTATCCCCAATCACGGACATGGCCTACGGGAAAGAAAGATCTAGTTACTGCTCTGCTTACCCACAATTCCTAATAATCTAAAATACCGGTAACAAGCGGGTGAGGTGTGTATTCACGATGACGAGCGTACCAGGAACCGGGACCTACGTTTAATTCAACTCTGTGCACCTGAGACCCATTTTAAACCCAATCTCCATCAAGTTACTTTTCGCAAGCGGCGGGCTCCAACGACGGTTCAGTTTCCTTCTTGCCTCCTCCCACCATGGAGATGGAGACCCATCCTGGAGCTGGGCTTCCAGTTTCAGCCTCCCAAGCCCCTTCTGCTCTCATCCCTCCCAGACAGGCTCCCGGCCAACCTCACCGTCTCCAGATTGGAACTCTGGATCTCCTTCTCTTCAGCATAGTCGGTGACTCGCTCCAGGTCCGCCGCCCCACTGTCATGTTTCCGTGGCTTCTCTGGAGGCCGCTCCGGGCCGCTGGTCTCAGTCTCCAACTCTAGCTCCACGTCCCCCTCTGTCGCCATGTCGATCCCACCACGCCGCGCCAGAGGCCCGGCCCCGCCTCAGGAAGACTTCCGGTAACTGCCTCGCAACTTCCGCCGGGAGAGGAGGAGGCGGGACCGGCCGTGGGCCACACCTTCTTTGGTGCTCTGGTTCTAGAACTTCAGCGAGGAAACCAGTACGCCTTTCAGACTTCCTTTCGGGCTTCTAGTGTTGCTTTCTGCCAGGCCGTGTCCCAGACCTAACCCGTCACCACTCCAGGCCTTCCTATCCTTCCCTTCTCTTCACCTAGGTCCAGCCCACACACCCCAAGGAATTCTGTTCAAGATGGATGACGTCTAATCCTAAACCAATTAAGAATGCTAATCTACAAGCCAGATATGCAAACTACTCCCTAATCTGGGGAGAACAGACTGAGTGGCCCAAGGACCCTGGGGAGAAAGTAGTTTCACAGGGACGTTTGCATTTACCACATCCTGAAGGTCGGTGTTCTCTTCCTGATGTCCCTACCCATTCTGTCTGAAACTGGGTGACCAGCCCCGGCACAGCAGGAGTCCAATGGGCTGAGGACAAAAGAAAGCTACTACTTTCTCATCTTCCTTCTATCTGGTGGACCTGGGCCTAATCCCTGGGATAAGGATGGTGGGTGCAAAGGCGGTCACAAGCTCCAGCACCTCCCTCCGCCTGGCACAGCAACGCAGTGGAGTCAGCAGTGTCACAGTGAGTCTTCCCTTCTATCAGGTGAGAGGGTACTGGAGCAAGCGCTATCTGAAAAAATGGAAGGGAATGGTGGCTGAAGCTGGGGAGGAAAACCCATGGGAGCTGATAAAGATGATAGGCCTTCCTTTCACTTGTGAGGCCCTTCTGCTTCTTTGCCTCTAAGACTACTGATCATTAAACCTCTCCTCCCATGTACCCAGTACCGGATATTTAGATCCTGGGAAAGATTAGAGGCCAGATGTGACTTAGGCTTTTAGAAAGTTCTGCTCAAGCCTGCAGTTAAGCTCTTATGATGAAAGCTCTACTTGATGTCAGTGGAAGGCAATCCTAAATAGCTTGGAACCAGACAGTCTGAGAATTCCTGAGTGAAAGGAGAGAAGAGAAGGGAGGGGGAAATTTTGGAATTCAGCCTCTTGGGTTAACCTCACATGTACATTAATGTAAGCCTTTCCTCAGCAAATCTGCACCTTGCTGCCCTGCATCTGCTCTCCCCTCAGGTGCTCTGCTGTGGGCCTGCTCCCTGTACCTGCTGCTGCCATTCTAGGTGACCCCCTCTCACGGAGTCTCCTTGTAGCCGCCTGTTCTACATCCTCCTCCATGTGGGGACCTCAGCAGTCTGCTGCCTCCTGCTGTCAAGGATGGTAGTGCAAAGAGTCTGGGGCAAGGCACACGGGGTAAGTGGGAGGAGGTTGGGGTGCAGCAGGACAGGATAAAAGGAGAAACCCTGAGATAAACAAGAGATTCAGGTTGGGGGAAGGGGACAAATGAGTGGACATACCCATAAGAAGAAGGTACTTCTCTATGCATGATGACTTGCCCAGCCATTTCTCACATGTACCTTCCCTCCAGATCCAGATGCCCTCAGGGCTGTGTGCCCATCTGTTTGGCCACTCTCACTGCCCAGTGCTCAGCGGCTCTGGGGCTGTATACCGAGTATGTACAGGAACTGCCACCTTTCGCCTGCTGCAGGCTGTGCTGTTTGTCAACCTCCACTCCCCCACCAGCCTGAGAGCACAGCTGCATAAGAGGTGTGTGTGTCTTCTTTGGGTGGGGAGGGGATGAGGAGGGAAGTAGAAATAAGCTGAGTAAAGGAAATTCCAAGATGAAGTAATAGCACTGTAAAAAGACAGAAAACAGGTTTAAGTCCCTGCTTCCACTATACCTGCTGTGTGACAACAAGCCACACACTTATCCTCTTTGACATTCTAGTTTCTGAAATGGAGATAACAGTGGGGTTACTATATGCAAATCTTTTGTCAACTCTAAAACATTGTCCAGGTGTTTTTATTTAGGTATCTGAAAGTCAGAATTTGGAATGGGCTGTGATGGGCCCATCTCCAGCCCCTCTCACATGGGACTGGTTCCTCCCTTCCTATACTTAGTTGTCTCGTCTCTCCCTTCCTATAGTTCTGGCTTTCTCCTTTGCCTTCCTCCACTGGCACTGTTCACTCTCCTTTGCCTTTTCTTCTGGTTTTCTCTTTCCCTCTTAACCAGCTTCTGGCTCCTCAAGCTGCTGTTCCTGCTAGGTCTCTGTGCTGTTGCCTTCTGCATGCCTGATGAGTATCTCTTCCCAGGTACCTTCCATCTCATCCTGATCAGCGGAAGTAAGCTAAAATATTTTCTAAGAAAAAAAGAGGGTAGGAAGAGGACCAGGAGTAATGATATGATCAGCTACATTTCCCCACTGGTGCCTCACTTGCAGCCTGGCGTTACATTGGCATCTGTAGAGGCTTCACATTCATCCTGCTGCAGTTGGTGCTTTTTACAGCCTTTGCCCGTTCCTGGAACAAGAACTGGTAAGGAGGACATAACCCTAAAGGCTTCCTGGGAAGTCTGACATTACTAGACCCAGTTGGGTGGGGCAAAGGACATGACAGGTTGATGGTCCCAGAGCTTACCACTAAGCAGTATCGAAAAACTCAGGAATGTGAAATGACTGTGGGCCAGGTGGGATGGGTAAGTCTCACCAGTCTTTTGGAAGAGGGGAAATAGTTGATAATGGGTAAAAAGAAGAGTTGGAGCGCCAAGCCATTGCCCACCTCCCACCCCTAGGCAAACAGGTGCAGCCCAAGACTGCCGCTGGTTCCTAGCTGTGCTGCTGACCACCCTAGGATTCTATAGCATGGCAGGTTTAGCAGCTGTGCTCCTGTTCCACTACTACACACACCCAGATGGCTGCCTGCTCAACAAGATGCTGCTTAGTCTGCATGTTTGTTGCTGTGGTCTCCTCTCCTTCCTCTCCATCGCTCCCTGCATCCGCCTCAGTGGATACATGCCTTGCAACATTCCAGATTTTGGGGACCTTTGGTATAGCAATTTCATTAGCCTCCCTCCCTCAGTCAATTCTCTGCTTCCCCCAAAGGGTGGGGGGACAGAAGTACAAGTGAGGGTAGAAGTAAAGGAAATTACTAACCTGTAGGCTAAAGCAAGGATTCCCATTCTCCCCAGAGCAGCTCCACTCTGGCCTTCTACAAGCCTCTGTCAACAGCTGCTATATCACGTAGCTGACATTCTCTGCGCTATCCAGCCATCCTCCAGAGAGTGGTAAGGACAGGACATGGATTTCCCCATGCTAAAACCTTTTTTGCTCCTGCCAAATACCTATTTGTTCTTACCACCTTTCTCTTCTGTTGCCCCTTCTCAGTAATCCTTCAAGGACAGAATCACTCTGCCTGCCTGGCCTGAGTAAAATGGAACCCCAAACACCAGATACTTCTCTGGCAGTGTTGAGTGCTGGCATCATGTATGCTTGTGTGCTTTTTGCTTGGTGCATAAAGGTGTCAAGGGAAAGGCGTGAGAGAAGGGAGGATGCTCAGGACAGGGAACGATGGTCAGGAGACTGTCTGGGACCACGGTTTATTTAAACTTTAGAGCAAGATAAGAGGAAAGCTCCCCATGAACAAAAACAACTTCTAAGAATAGCACTTGTCAGATGATCTGTATGAGATGAAGGGGGTAGGGGAAATGACTTGAGAATTTTTAAATGTATAAAGACTTCAAGGCCCTCACATGAAAAGACTTCTAAATCTTTGGCGGAAAAGGGCTCCAGGAGCACAGTACCCTCCTAAGAGTTACTAATATGGACCAACCAGCTAGCAGTAAATGCCCTCAGGCAATCCTGCTATCTGACTGGACCAGCTTGAGAACCATCTCTTTCTTCTCAGCAATGAGGCTTCCTACCTTGCTGAGGTATTTGGGCCCTTGTGGACTGTCAAGGTTTACAGCTGTGAGGTCCAGGTGAGGCTGGAGAGTACAATATCCCCAATACCCCTCCCCCCTCACACATAGTCACAGACACACACACATCCTATCAACCTCTACCCAGAATGCTCAGATTCTAGCTGCTATTACCTTTTATTGAGTACCCACAATGTGCTAAGCACTGTGCTAGATACTTTACATACATAATCTCATTTAATTTAATCCTCACAACAACCCTGTGAGGTAGGTATTTGCTCCATTTTACAAATGGAGAAATTGAGGCACAGAAGGTTAAACATCTTACCAAAGTTCCCATAGCCAGTTATATACTGAAGCTAGAATTTGAACCCAGGTGTGCCTCCACTTTTTACACCACACCAATCTTTTCAAAGAAGAGTAGTTTCCTATACTGTTACCCAGACATTCTTTCTAAAGTCATTCCAAAACATGCTGCCTTTTGTTTTACAAAAGCCCTCACTCTGTTTCTGCTGCCCTGAAACAGTGCAGCCAGAGGAAGGTGAGTGTCAAGTGAGGATCCGTAAGTGTAGATTTCTGCAGAGTGCCAAAGAGCCCTCAAGTGCCTTCACAAAAGATGGGGGAGGAGGGAAGAGGTGTTTCAGCAGCACTGCTGCCAGCAGTCCTTTCCTCTCTCCAGGGCAAACAGGTGGGGCTGACAGGCCAGCTAACCAAGAGACCGCTCCAGCTCCTCCAGTGCAAGCCCAGCAGCTTTCCTATAGCTATTCTGCCTTCCACTTCGTCTTCTTCCTTGCATCACTCTATGTCATGGTTACCCTCACCAACTGGTTCAGGTAGGATGGAGGCGGACCTGGGACACTCTTCTGAAAACCTAGTTGTTTTAGGGAAAGAGCAATTCAAGGCCAGTCCCGAGTTCTGAGGACACACACATGGGTCTACCATATACCATACTCTTCGGTGGGGTGGTAGGACAGATCTAAAAGTCATGGCCCTCCAGATTCTCTAACCAGACACTTTAGTTCCACAGCTATGAGGGAGCAGAACTGGAAAAGACTTTCACCACGGGCAGCTGGACTACCTTCTGGGTCAAGGTTGCCTCATGCTAGGCCCGTGTACTCCTCTATCTGGGGCTGCTACTGGCACCATTCTGTTGGTCCCCAACCCAGGACCCCCAGCCTCCTCTTATCTTCAGGTGACACTGTCATGGCATCAGTATTGCCAGATAACAAATATCCAGTCTAGGTACTTTTAACAAACTGGGGTTCCCTTCAAATTGTACCCCTAGTCTTGACTCACAGGAGCTGTCCAGCCCAACAAATACCTCAAGGACATAATGGGTAGTTACCTCCCTTTAGGCTAAAGTCAGTAGTATGTCTGACTTGAAAAAAGTGGCCATACACACCCTAATGCCCTGGGCAGAGTATCTGACACGCTGGAGCTACCGTTACGTCTTCACCCCAGCTCAAGAGCCTGACTCCCAAGTCAGCAGCTCAGGAACCAGCAGACAGTGCGGCACCAGCTCCTTCCTGGCTCTCATGGTGGAGATGGGGGCAGGGAAAGACCAACAGGGACTGAAGACTTACTTGGCTCTGCCCTTGGAGATAAAAAGGAAAATAAGG